GTCAATGATGTGGTACGTTTGCTTGGTGGTGAGTTTGTCAATGATGTGGTACGCTTGCATGGAAGTGTCTTATTGTTTTTGTCCTCACCCATTCTTCTCCAGTCAATTCTTTCATGTCTCTTTTGGAAGGTGAACCCCGGACCACCATTCATGGTGACAGGCACTGCACGAGGGGTGCTGTTAGGCACATGACCGTTGGTGTAGACGTAACTTGTGCCTCCTCCTGCCCCACGGGGTGATGGGTAATATGACCCATGCATCACTGAAAAGGTTTAAACAATGTGTGTAAAATTTCAGACTAGGCCCAGGCCCTACTTAAATTCAAAAGTAAATTTAGGCATGTTCATGATGTTACTTGTTAGGGAGAGCCTGGAAAGCCATGGAAGACTTAATGTAACCAAAAAATACAAGCTTACAACTAAAAATTCTGGATTTTCTGTTAGGCCTAACAAAAATAATAAAAAAACATGGCAAAAGAAACCGATTAACGGGTACCATACTTAAACAATTATGCACAAACTAATTTATTAAATAAACAATTTTTTAAATGTAATATGTAAAGAGACTAGCCTTCCCGACTAGACTGTCACTGTTTAGATATAGGGCAAATCTTTTCCTATCTCCATGGCCCATGGCATGGGCGGACAAAAACCTGACTAGGCCTAGGCTATGTCATATAGCCTATACTCATCGACAAAACATGACAAAACTGACAAACAAAAGCTCTAGGAAAAATAAACAATTTGTTATTCTTAAAATTTAGAAAACAACTATGATAGCATTTTACTTACTTGGTCCACGTGTAGTGAAGACGTCAATTTCCAATAACCCTACATGGCAAAAGCCAAGTTCAACCGTCAAATTTTGTGGCAACTTTCGGTTACTCAGGGTCAACAAAACTCAAACCAGACGCCATTTTTGGAATGCCATTACTACCCCCTCTATCGACCAATTCAAGCCAACTCATCAGCGCCCCAGTGACCAATAAATTCACAGTTATATTTAGCAACAAATGAGGTAATCACTTGGTATCATTCGCTGATTGGTCAGATAAATCCAAGGGATTTCCCTCTGACCCCTACACGTTGTTGACATCGTCCAGGTATTTCATTTGGCAGAAAAAACGTCAATAAACGTACCAGCTGATCGCACCGAAACGTGCTTTGTTGTTGCGCATTTGTGTACACGTTCATGATCGCTCTTTGTTCATTTTGTGATCGCCGCACGTAACATTGCAACGAATTTGGAAATCGGTAAGACTTTCCTGTTTCTTCTGGTAAATTATTTGTCTTCTTGAATGGCGCATATCACGACGTTTTGGGTTATTTTGCTTTGTGTCGAGCTGTGACGTCGTTTGAGATTTTATAACAGGTTTGAGGGTTTAGGCTCGATCTAACGGGAAATTCACGTGTGTTCGCAGAAATTCGCTTCAGGTGAATTTTGTGTTATTGTGACAATTATCCTGACGGTCT